GCTCTAAAATCTCAGATTTCTCATAAATTACTAAAACCATGGGTGCGGTTCATCTATCAGGTAGCCACATTGGTAAGATGTTTGAATCAACTAAATGTAGTAAAAAATTGCATCAAAAACACTAACAGCTTGGCAAATCAGAGAATGTCGAGCTTGCCACAGTTTAAACTCAGTTTTCAGAGGACAAATAAACAAAATGGTTGCCAAATGTATTTACTTTATTCTACTTTGTGCTACACCAAAGACTGTTTCAATTTAACTAATCTGCATGATTTATCCAAACAACTTCCTTTTACTGCATAGATTAACAAGTTCTAACGGATGGCATGATCGTGCCTAACAAATTATAGACAGGTTCATTTTCTATTTTGATTATTTTAAGTATTAGGAGTAAGCTCGATTTCAATGCGTTTTGATTTATTCCAGCTTTGAATGTATTTGTATGCGAGCGCAAACTATGGAAGGCTTGCCACCAAGCCCCCCAGGCCTTTGATGTTACGTGCGAGAAGCATACACCTGAGTGCACCAATAAAGAGACGGAGCAGACTGAATTGTAATGCTAACTAGAAGCCTAGCGAACAAATGACAATCGTGGGGGTGACCGCGCTTTAGAAACAATGGAAAGACAACCGTTTCATTAACGAGAAGGCCAAATGTTGCTTAAGGCATTCCATCCACAGCAATGTTTCCATAGAATGGGCAAGAGTGTTGATGCAGCAGACACCTTCAAAACCGCAGCTGACCGTGCAAAGAAGTTGTTAATGAATAAAACTTTGAGCTAGTAAGAAAGGCTGAGGTAAACAAAAAAGGAGCCAGGTTGATAGAAAGAATTGCCGCGATGCATTATTTACCACTGAGATTGGGTTATTTGGGGCAATATCTTATAGAATTAGAACCCAGCCCTCTGTACCATTACCTGGAAGATCAAATGCCAAGGCGAATCTAGGGAGACGAGGGTGGACAGGTGCAAATGGGCAGTAAAAGTAACTTCTAGTTATAAATCACTGTTGTTTTTTTATTTACCAGTTTATATTTCAAATGAAACACCAAATGCATAAGCACAAAGTATAAGTTGAGATTTAGGCGACCGACACAATTCTACATTGTAATAAAACTAGTGCAACAGTAATTCAAAGCTAACTACCAAAAGGAAAGAACGGTAAGAAATTTAGCAAGAATATGCATCAAATTTCGTTGTTA